GTGTCTACCCACAGAATTAAAATGCTTCCTTGAAACCAGGGAAGGTGGGGTATCTCAGACTTAGTGTCTACCCATAGAATTAAAATGCTTCCTTGAAACCAGGGAAGGTGGGGTATCTCAGACTTGGTGTCTACCCACAGAATTAAAATGCTTCCTTGAAACCAGGGAAGGTGGGGTATCTCAGACTTGGTGTCTACCCACAGAATTAAAATGCTTCCTTGAAACCAGGGAAGGTGGGGTATCTCAGACTTAGTGTCTACCCATGGAATTAAAATGCTTCCTTGAAACCAGGACAGGTAGGCTATCTCAGACTTGGTGTCTACACAAGGAATTAAAATGCTTTCTTGAAACCAGGACAGGTAGGCTATCTAAGACTTGGTGTCTACCTAAGGAATTAAAACGCTTCCTTGAAACCAGGGCAGGTGGGGTATCTTCAGACTTGTCTACCCAAGGAATTAAAATGCTTCCTTGAAACCAGGGCAGGTGGGGTATCTCAGAATTGGTGTCTACACAAGGAATTAAAATGCTTCCTTGAAACCAGGGCAGGTGGGGTATCTCAGACTTGGTGTCTACCCACGGAATTAAAATGCTTCTTTGAAACCAGGACAGATTGGGTTTCTCAGACTTGGTGTCTACCCATGGAATTAAAATGCTTCCTTGAAACCAGGGCAGGTAGGGTATCTCAGACTTGGTTTCTACCTAAGGAATTTAAATGCTTCCTTGAAACCAGGGCAGGTGGGGTATCACAGACTTGGTGTCTACACAAGGAATTAAAATGCTTCCATGAAACCAAAAAATACAAAATACTCTAATTGTATCACTCTGCTGGATATTTAAGTAATCATGGCAAAAAAATCTCATTAAAGTAAATGTATTATATCCCAGGAATAGGGTCAGTCCCCGACCAATCTTGGTGGCATATGTATCCAAATCTTCGTGCTCAGCATCTGCATATATCATTATAGGGTAAGTATCTTACTGTTTCCGTGTTACCACCCAAGGACTAAGTCCCTAAGGGTGGGGGCAGACCCCATAGCTATTTCCTGTAGCATAATGTGATCATCTCGTCATGCTCAGCAAATGTTTTTCGATTAAGGGATGGGGATCTCAGCAATTTCCATGCTATGACTAAGATACTAAGGGACCTAGGTCGTGTCAGACCCAAATGCTAATCCTAGCAGCATATCTTATCAGATTTTTTAATACCCAGCGATTGCAAATGTAGTTAGGGATAGGGATCTGAATCATTTCCATACTTTGGCGAAGGGCCAAAGTCTGTATGGGCAAGGGCAGACCCCAAGGCATATGTATATTTAATAAAATAATAATAATATACAACATTTGATAAAGCGCCCTATCTAGCTAACATAAACCATTCGCTTTACAGTACATAGATATACAATCAATACAATTAACATATACATTAATCAATACAATTTTTGAGGAATTTGCAGGAGCTGCCTTATCAGGCGCTAACTACTAGTCCTATGCCACCTGGCTAATATCTCCCTATACGTGTATGCCTGCGTGTGTGCTGGAGATGTAATGTGTTCTGTTTATAGTGGGACCGTGCTTCCAACGGCATCATTTATAGTGCGACCTCACTTGAATGCTACAGCACAGATATCGCAACATCCACCCAATTTATACTCCACCTGGGTTGTTGGAGTTGTGTGGGCAGGAGAAAAACACTTTCTCTGAATATTCCATTCGTATGGCCACTTCGAGGATCGAACCCCGGCTGCCTGCATGGAAGGCCGGAGTGTTTACCACTCAACCAATCCACCCATAATTGTTTTGCATGTTTATGCATAGTAACAGCATAAACAGTTATAAGATTAGGGATCTCAACTGTTTCCATGTTGTGACCCAGAAAGTATGTCCCTTGGGATGTATATTTCAAAGTTATGACCCAGGGACTAAAAAAGTCTTCAAGATTTGGGCCAGACCATTAAGTCATCATAATAATAACAATTTGAGGTTCTTATATACCGCTTTATCACAACCTAGTTCGTAGGTCGTCTCAAAGCGGTTCACAAATTATTATCCTTGGCTATAGGGCCTTTGCAACTAGCCAATATCTTTCTCGACTCCCTGGGGAGCATACAGCTGGTGCTGCCATTTCGGCGCTAACAGCTAGCATTCTACAATTCTAGCACAGCCTGTAACCATGTATGTATTTACAGCTGAGTAGACTCGAACAAGTGGAGTAAAGTATCTTGTTCAAAGATACAACAAAGTGCCGTGGCGCAACCTTTCGGTCACGAGCCCGACGTACTACCTCTAGACTACCGTGCCTCCAGGTAGCATCTCTATAATATATATACTCAGCAATGTGTATATATGGTTATAGGGTACGGATCTCTAAGTTGTTATCCAGAAACTTTAAGTTCTGAGATGAGCGGCCAGACCTAAGGTTAATTCTAATATCATAATTGTGTTTGTGTTTTTAATGCCAAGCCATCGTAAAAATGGTTATGGGGTGGATATCTCAACTCAACTGTTTCAAAGTTATGATTCAGAAATTTAGTCCGATGCAAGGCTTGGGCCAAACCCCAGAGTCGCTCTTGAAGCATGGTTAAAGAGTGGGGATCTGAACCGTTTCAAGGTTATAAGCTTTTTTTGATCCCAACCATCTGCCTCAAGTGGGGTAGAGGTGGGTTCAACCCTGTCATTGGTATGAGATTGAATACTCACAACCTAAGAATGCTTCCAATCAAATATGGTTGATATCTATGTCTCTTTGTAGACATAGATAAAAAGAAGAAGTCACTTAATACTTAAATTACACCTTTTTGGCCCCATGCCTCAACCCCCCAGAGAGTCAGCACTCTATCTGTACAATATTGAATCTCCTCCCCCTAACAATGTTACCAACCAAATATGATTAATATCCGTCTTGAAGTTCTAGAAGAGAAGTCATTTAAAGCAATATGGCCAAATTACCCATCACTGGTCTCAACCCTCAGCCTCTGGGGAGGTCAGCCGAACAATTTGTACAATTCTGAATCCCCTTTGACCAGGTGAGCTAATAATTTAATCTTCCAACAGAAGCACACTATCATATTCAGACAGAAATGCTGCTTAAGCCATTATTTACATCAGTAACTAAAACTATGGACAGTTAGGACAAAAGCTAGGTACCTACCATACAATCAGGCTCCATGGCGTAACAGTAGTCGCCAGAGGCATTGGTCTCAACCCACAGGTGGTCACTGTTGATGGC